TTACCGCGCGGCTTTTTTCCCCCTTTAATTTCACACCTCGCCCGCGCGGAACGTAGACGCGACTCGGCATCAAGGGTGTGATATTATCGACAACAGGGTGTATCAAAGATTTTTCTCCAGAAAGCTAAGTAACTCTAGGTACGTACTCTACCAATCAGAGCACGCTGGTGTGGGAGAGTAGAGAGGGTTGGGAAAGAGAAGTGGGACACGTAATGGTCGAAGGTCAGAAAGAAGGGGGAAAGGGGGGGGGGGGGGGAGGGGAGAGCAGGTATACGGGAAATCCAGGGAAGGCTCCAAACCCGTCCGTTAGGAATACGGGCCAGGAAAAAACCAGCCCTGAAAATCTCTGAGCTGAGTTGAAACGAACCCTGAATTCTCAGGGAAAACGGGCAAATGCCCGTGAATCGACAGGCCTGTTATGCAGCATTAGTCAACGCGAGGGAGGGAAGATACGGTACTACTGAGATGAATCACCTTTCATCAAACGTACAGTATTTCAACCTAGGCCAAGCAGGTCGATTCGCCTACGCACGTTTTCCTGGAGTACCAACTGTGGCGATCACTATAGCTTTTTGCGGGGCATTCCCAAGACGCTCGCCGCGATAGGCGACTCGGAATGGCAAGTGTCAATCCGGAACTTGCTCCGAAACGTCAGAAGCTTGCAACCTATCGAAAAACGTGTACTCTGGAATTAATTATTCTTAGGACGTGTCTGGGCAGATGAATTACTGTTGCATCTCTCGCCGCAGATTGCGGGCTCACCCAGGGGCCGCGAGTGTTCTCTGTGTCGCGATTCCCCTACCGGTTACGATTCTCCTCTATCTCGTAGCCTTCCTTCGCGTTGCTGACGGTCTCGTCGACTGCTATAACCTAACGAATCCAAGTAAGAGGCTCAGCCTCTCCCGTTCATGGCATCACCGCCATTTACTGTTTAGTCGCTATAGTAGTAGTCGAGTCGTAAGCACAACTGTAGTGACGGGGACTCTACTCACTCAGTTTCGTCCCTCTCTCTCCAGCGTATTTAAATCTCCACATTTTACGCGTTCCTTCTTCCCCCAGCCATTTTATCACCTTCTTCCTCCTCCTAGTCTAAGCCCCTTTTCGATCGCTCCCCGGTGTGCACGCTGCTACCCTTTTTTCGTTCAAGCCCTACATGTCGCCGGCGCCAAAGTGCCAAAAACTGGCAATGCTGCGTTTTTAGGGTTTCGTTCCAGTAACAAGTCGGGATTCGCCATGCTAGCATGCATGGGGTCTCCTAATGGGAGAGAAGTTGTATCTCTTAGCTAGCTCCGAACGTTTACTTGCTAGCCCTGAGAACACTCTCCTATCCCCGATTCTAGGCATGGCATCGAGGCGTTATGCCAAGATGCCATGCTGAAAGCTTGGCGATGCGGTTTTTCTTCCGAGCCGCGCTTCCTCCTTCCCGGCATAAAGCAGCTTCTCTGAATCTTGTTGTATCATACCTGGATCATCTTCTATTCAAATTTCAATATCATCTTCTTGATCTTTCTCCTATCAACACTCAACTCTCATCTACGCTCCTAAAGCTAGGCTTCTCTCTAGCTTAGCTTCCTTCTGCGGCTGCGACGTTCTACTAATCTCTTCTCTCTCTCTTCGCTACAGCGCTCTCCCTAGTCACCATGGCCGGCCAGGCCAGCCGCGCCGTGCACGGCAGCGCTCCGTAGCTCCTTGCTTCACTTCCTCTCCCGCTCAATAACCCTAAAAAACTCCAATTCTCTTCCATTATACCCCCTCTTCTTTGGCCGTCACAGGTGAACCCTCAAACCTCCTGTCGAACCCAAGCTTCGATACAAGCTGTCTCGATACAGGATGGCGTCGCCAGAAGCTGAACGCGTCGTGCCCACCATGGCCGTACTTATTCCCTTGGCGCGCGTTAGAGCCTGGGGAAGCATTCTTAAGCGACGAGATCTTAACCACCACATATGGTAGCGGAAATCGCGCAACATCGCTTGCGCCAGCGGGCGCAACACTGGCGGAAGCTTTTGCGACAGCAAACAGGGCAGCGCCGCCTGCTGACGTGTCAATAGTGAACGGGGTAGCGGGAGTCACGGACATCCTACTGGCAGCTGACGGGTCCCGTTTTTTATGGCTGACATCTGATATTTCCGTGTCGTCTAGTGGCGACGGCGCTTCCGGTAGTAGCAATGGTAGTGGGAACAATAGTAGCAGCAGCTGCCCAGGCGTGTCGCAAGCGCTGTGCGAACTCAAACCCGCGGCGCCGACGAGCAACGTGTCGCAGCAGCAGCAGCAGTCCCCGCGCCAACTGTCCCTCTCGTTCTTTGCGTGCGCCAGCCTGTGCGCGGAGGGGGAAGGGGGCGCGGAAGGGGAGGCGGAGCGGCTGCTGAAGGTGCTGCTGCTGGCAGTTCCGCTCAACGCTTCCGCCGCGGCAGGGGGAGGGGCAGCAGCAGGGGGAGGGGCAGAGGGGGGAGGAGCGGGGGAGCAGGTGTGGGGAGAGTGGCGGGTGGGCGTGCCGTGTGGGGGGAGCAGCGCGAGTTTGTCCGGCGCCTTGCCTTGGTTCCAAGTGGGGCCCCTCCTCTTCCCCCTCCCTGACCCCCCCGATTCCTCCGCCTCTTCCTCCTCCGCCTCTTCCCTTTCCTCGTTGGTAGTGCCTCCAGGGGGAGTGGCGCTGCACTTGGTGATTCGAGGCGTGCAAGGCAGCAGCAGCAACAGCAGCAGCACTGCCACCGTCGCCTCCACCAGCCTCGGTGTTGCCACCACCACAAGCAGCGTAGTCGCCAGTAGCAGCAGTGACACCGCAGGTAGCGTCGGCGCCACCAGCACCAGCACAAGCAGCGGTAGCAGCAGCAGTGGCAGCAGCGTCGACAGCAGCAGCGTTGATAGCAGCGGCGGCGGCGGCTTTACCATCTCTTCCGTGGGCCTCCGAATCCGATCCGCTCTACATCCTCACCTTACCCGTGCTGCATCCGCCCTGAAACGGCTGCTCCGGTTCCCCACACTACCCCTCTCTATGCGCAGAGCAACAGGAGGAGCAGGGGCAGCAGCGGGGGCGAATGCGACGATTATGGTAAAGAGAGAGGGCATGGTGTCGGGAACTTTAGAATCGACTCAAAAGGCAGCAGTGGGAGCGAATGCGACGATGGTAACGGGAGTGGGCGTGGCGTCAGAAGCGGGGAGCACTGCTATCGACCTCGCGTCTGTCATGCCCGCTAGCAGTGAGTGATATGCGCTGGGGGGTGGGCTGCAAGGAGGGATAGAGTCCCAGTCCAGGTGAGTGAGAGGGGGAGCTATGAGGCACGTTCTGGTGGTTAAGGGAGTGGGCGTGCCGTCGGAAGCGCCGGGGAGTATTGCTATCGATCTTGTGTCTGTCATGCCCTCTAGAAGTGAGTCAGAGAGGCGCTGGGGGGCGGGCTGCAAGGAGGGATAGAGTCCCCGTCCCAGGTGAGTGAGTTGGGGAGGTACGCACGTTGAAGCAAGCAACTTTGCAATACTTTACCTAAACATCATAGTTGCTGCCACGTAAAGTCGTGGCACCTTGTTGGAGCCCACTTGGAGTCCGACTCCCAGGTGAGTGAGAAGGGGAGGTAGGCATGTTCTGATGGTAAAGCGAGTGGGTGTGGCGTCCGAAGCGGGGAGCACTGATATTAATTGACCTCGTGTTTGTTGTGCCCACCAGCAGTGAGTCAGAGAGGTAGCAACGGTTGGCAGGGTCACAGGTATTGCAGGAGGCATCATGCGCGACACACTTCAGACGTGCAACTAAACGAGCCGGGTAAAACTCGGCTCGTCCTGGTCAGAACTCGGCCGATTTTTTTCTGCCCGGGGTCGGACTCGTCACTCGTCCAAACGGGACAAGTTTTCCGAAAACCGGCCCGAGTGGTTGTAAAACCTCGGTAAAGGTAAAGAGGGGGGGGTGGGTTTGCAGGCTGAACACCCCTATACCCATGATAGTTTTGACGCTCGGGCTCGCAGGAAACAACATTTCAGCAGGCAAAGCTAACGTGGGGAGAGGGATTGCAATTTGTATCTTCGGAAACAAATTTCGTAGCTTCGTATCCCACGAATTCGCCTGGCAATGTTGTTCCCAGCCAATCCGCCCCTCATTACCTACCTCCACCGCACAGAATCTAGAAAACCCAACCAGTTTCAAATCTGAAATTTGGAAAGTGAGGTCAATCTGAATCTAGAAGACCTAAATCTCCTAGACGGCTTCTCCAAGATTTCGGGCTTCTATCCAATGACGATTCGCTGTGTCTGAGCTAAATGCTTGCTAGTAATAGCTATTAGCCCACTACTTGCTTGACGGATGCATCTTAAACTTATTCCTAAACTGCGATGTTGACTTCTGTATTCACACCCTCTCTCCTGCGTACAAATGTCGCGACGGTTTTTTTTCGAAACTCGCCGAGCCCCAAGAAACTCGCGAGTCCCTAAGAAAACTCGCGCAAATGCGCGAGTTTCCAGCGAGTAGAAAAAAACACGCCGAGTAAAACTCGTCTCGACTCGGCCGAGTTTTTTCGGCGGAGAGTCGAACTCGTCAGTCGTCCCTAGACGAGTGCTGGGAACGAGCCGAGTTGTAAAACTCGTCCACATGTACATGTTTAATGCTCATGTCTAATGCACATGTCTAATGCACATGTCTAATGCACATGCACATTCCCCCCCTCGCTTAGCACATATCTAAACTGAAATCATGCGCCAAGCGCACAAGCTGTGCTGCGCTAGCCTCCCTTCTGCTATCTTCTCTTCTGGCCCAAATGCACATGTCTAATGCGCTGCACACTAAAAGCATGCGCAGCACACTGAAAGAATGCGCGGCACACCGAAAGCATGCGCGGCCCACCGAAAGCATGCGCAACACACCAATTATCTCAACAGCCAAGTTTTAACCTCCCACAGCCCACTCCAGTGCATGATCAATCCATCACTCACTTCTGCTCCCACTCGTCCTCCCCCTTCCCCCCCCCTTCACACCCCCCCATCCCCCGCCACTCCCCATCCCCTCCCCCACTGCCCTGCAGCCGACCCCTCCCCACTCAAGTCTTTCTCCCACTGGCCCCTCTCGAGCGCCCACCCGCTCCTCACAGCCGGCTCAGCTCGCCGCAAGGCCTCCTCGCTCTCCCTCACCACGCTCTCCGACCTGAATGCTGCATCCCTCGCGCTGCACCCCGCCCCCTTCTCCCTGCTCGCCCCTGCCACGCCCACCTCCCCCTGCCGCCCCTTCTCCTTCTCCACCTCCTTCACCTTCCGCATCTCCTCCCCCAACGCCGCGGGGCTGGGCGGCGAGGGCTTGGCGTTTGTGATGCTGCCGACGCCCACGCTCGGCCTGCCGGGGCCGTCCCTGGGCTACGGGCGCCTGCTGCTGCCCCCGGGGAGCACGGCTGCTGCAGCTGCTGCTGCAGATGGTTCCAGTGTCAGCGGTGCAGCTGTGTCATCTCAGGTACACGTCATTTCAGGTGGGCAGCAACAGCAACCCAGCTTTTCAGGTGGGCAACAAACGCAGGTGGGCAGCAATGCATTAACTCAGGTTGTTACTCCGCTTGTTTGAATATCCTGAAAGAGAACAGCCGAGCAAGAAAGCCTTGCTCGCTTGCTCTCTTGTTCTCCTACTCTGTGTATCTGCTTCTCCCCCCTTGCCGCCCCCCCCCCCCCCCTCCCCCCCCCCCCCCCCCCCCCCCGCCTTCCACCCCTATATCCATAGCAGCATAGGAGCCTTGCAGTGGAGTTTGACACATCCGCCTCCCCCGAATTCTTGGACCGGCAGGAGCACCACGTGGGGGTGAACCTGGATGGCAGCATGCTCTCTCTCGCCTCTGCCCCCGTGCACCCCGTCGGCATCCCCTCCCTCAACGCCGGTCAGACCCTCCTCGCCACCATCCAGTACAACGCCTCCTCCTCCCAGCTCTCCGTTTGGCTCTCCCCAGCCCCACCCTCCTCCCCTCGCCGCGCGTCCCCTCGCCCCACCCCTTGCTTCCCTCGCTTCCCTGGTTTCCCTCTGTTGCCTCGCTGCTCCTCCTCCTCCTCCTCCTCCTCCTCCTCCTCCTCCTCCTCCTCCTCCTCCTCCTCCTCCTCCTCCTTCTCCTCCTCCTCCCCCCCTCCTCTCCCCCGCTCTGCCGTCCTCACCACATTCCTGGACACCTGCGAGTGGCTCAGGGGGAACGATCCGGAAGCAGCAGCAGCAGCGCCGCCCCCGGCGTTGTTTGTGGGCTTCACAGCGGCTACTGGCAAGGGGGTGGAGCAGGCGCAGGCGCACGAGGTACTGGCGTGGAGTTTCCAAGTTGGGGAAGGTGGGTTCAGATCAGGTGTCGTCATGCCTGTTTTGAGCGTTTTTTCGGGGGAAATGACCCTTGCATTACTATATCACACCGCCTGTGTCACAGGCCCTGTGAGTGAGTAGCTCGACGCCTGTGCTGTGCTCTGCTCTGTTGTAGATCTGGTCTGAGGGTTCTCGCCTGCAGCACTACGGGGCAGAAAAAGGGAGGGTGAAGGCCCACACTTTCCAGTGCTTTGTAGTGTCCTTTCCATGTGCTTCCACTCCAAGTCCCCTGTTGAGGCGCCTCAAAAGCCACACTTTCCAATGCTTTGTAGTGTCCTTTCTATGTGCTTCCACTCCCATGTCTCCTGTTTTTAACCTTTCCTTACTCCCTCAGCCCTTGCTTACTTCTCCGAAGCCCTACCCCACGTTCCGCCCCTCCACTTATACCCTACCATGGCAACCCCAGGCCATGACTAGGGATGTGATGTCCTCATGCAAACCTTCACCCTCTCCTCACCCCCTTCTTTCCCCTCATCCCCTGCTCCCCTGTCTCCCCTGCACTCCCCTCTCCCTGTTTCTCACATCACATCACATCACATCACATCACATCACATCACATCACGTCATCAACCCCAGCAGCGGAGGATCCGCTTTCGTTTTGGGCGGCAGACTCGTTCGCCTTCCCCTACATCACGCCAGCCACTCCCCTGCTGACACGTGGCAGCACAAGGAAGCGTTTCTTCGCCGTCGACCTCTCGGTCGCTGCTGATGTGGCAGCCACCAGCCAATCAGACGATCCCGCCCCTGGAGCCATCTTCTTCCCTCACCGTCTCCCCCTCCTCTACCCCTCCTCCTCCCCTCCCTTCCCTCCTTCTCCTCTTCCTCGCAGCTCCCCCAGTTCCTCTCCTTCCTCCTCCCTTCCCCAACCCTCAGCCTCCGAACCTCCTGCCTGCATGGCCCGCTCGTTCACCTTCACATACGGCTTCTCCATTAACGTATCCGCGTCTCAAGGTCTCGCATTCGTTATAAGCACACATGCAGGCGTGGGCCTAGGCGGGGCTTATATGGGGTACGGCCGGGACCCGTCCTCGCGACTCGCTAATGGCAGCTGGCCGGACGGCGCGCGGAGTGTAGCTGTGGAGTGGCGCACTGTAACAAACCCAGAAGGCAATAGAAATGGTGTGAAGGTTGGCGTTACCACTGATTTCAACATGACCTCGGTTTTCGCTAAGGAATCGCCTTATGTGATGGAGCCCGAGGAGGTGTGGCAGATGAGAGTTGACTATAACGGGAGCAGCAAGGAGATGGTGCTTAGATGGTACCGACCGCCTTTTCTACGAGGCATCATGAGGGTCTCTATAGACCTGTGTGCTGCTCTCAGTGACGCCTCTGACACCGCCGGAAGCAGCAGCGGAAGCACCAGTGGTAGCGGCGGCGGCAGCAGCAGCAGCGACGGCAGCAGTGACAGCAGCAGCGGTGTGACGGACCCAGCATCGCCATCCTTTGGGCAGCTGTTCGTGGGGTTCACCAGCGCTGCTCTCCCTCCTCCCTCTGGCCGCCTGCCTTCCCCCGTCACCCTCTTCTCCTGGACCTTCAGATTCACAGGTAAGGGGGAAAGGGGGGGGCGAGATGGGGGGGAGGGAGAGAGAGAAAGTGTAGCAAGCCACGTGCCCTGCCAGGCTGCCCCCGTTGGCCTCTCCTCCTGGACCGTCCGGTTTACAGGTAGGGAGAGGGGAGGAAGGATTGAGAGAGGGGGGTAGCAAGCCACGTGCCCTGCCAGGCTGCCCCCGTTGGCCTCTCCTCATAAACCGTCCGGTTTACAGGTAGGGAGAGGGGAGGAAGGATTGAGAGAGGGGGGTAGCAAGCCACGTGCCCTGCCAGGCTGCCCCCGTTGGCCTCTCCTCATAAACCATCCGGTTTACAGGTAGGGAGAAAGGGAGAAAGGATTCTCGTTCCTGTAACCCCACGAAACCCTACCCCCACCCCTTGTATTCCCTGGCCACCTGCCTTCCCCCGTCGCCCTCTTCTCCTGCATCCCCTCGCTATCCTTGTCTCTCATACCCTCTCTCTCCCCACTGTCTAACTGTCTCACTCATTCCCATCCTCCCTCCTCCCCCCCCCAACAGGCACCGATCCTTGCACGGGTTCTCTGGTGCTGCCCTGTGGAACGGGCGTGTGCAGCAAGGCACTTGCCCCATGGGGTGAGACCCCTCTAACCTCGTGTCTCATACCCTCTCTCTCCTCACTCTCCAACTGTCTCACTCATTCCCTTCATCCCCCCCCAACAGACACTGACCCCTGCACGGGTTCTCCAGTGCTGCCCTGTGGAACGGGCGTGTGCACCAAGGCGCCAGCCCCATGGGACTCCTCTATCCTCGTGCCCTCCTGCAAGTGCCCCTTCAATCTCCCCTCCTTCCAACCCGATCACCTCTCCGGCCTGCCCTCCTGCTTCCCGGGTGAGTCGTGGAGTGCCCTCTGCAAGCTGTGGAGTGCAGTAGGTGAGAGGTGTAGTGTAGGAGACGGAGTGCGATAGGCAAGAGGTGGAGTGCGGTAGGCAAGAGGTGGAGTGCGGTAGGCAAGAGGTGGAGTGCGGTAGGTGAGAGGTAGAGTGTGGTAGGTGAGAATTGGAGTGCAGGTACCCTTTTGACTTTTGGTTTGTTTGTGGATGACATAGTACTGCACGCATGCACTCGTTCTCAATTCACACCACTCTCGAGAAAATGCAAAAGTTCTTAAGCTTCAATTCTGAATAATTTTCAATAGATATGTATCTGTAGGGTTGAGCATGGGCCGGGCCCGGCCCGACCCGGGCCGAATGACCAAGACTCTGGCCTGAGCCCGCCCATTTTGTACTCGGGCCAGGGTGGCCTGACCTGGGCCCGGCCCGGGTGCACTTTCGATAGAGTCACACATGATTTTCGAAAACGGAATGCCTTAAATCTAAACCTAATGTAAGCTACTATTGCGTCACCCCTTGATGTAACCGTTATTTTAAAACGGTTAAACAACACTAACTACTGAGAGATAGACTCTAAGTTAGGAAAACGATTGAGTTGAGATCTGAATACATGGCTAGAAGCTAGGTGTGAGCTTGCGTTAGAGGTTGCGCAAACCGTCACGCAGCTCCAGTTTGACCCCCGCGACATTTGTCGGGGGGGTCAAATCCCCGCGTGATTGAGATCTGACGAAATTGACTCAAATCTCAAACCATTCCTACAAAAACCGCATTTCACCGCACTGAATCTAGAATTTCCAACCAGTCCATCAATTTCCAACCCAGGTCAACCAGATCTGGCCGCATTTGTTGGCCTGAGATCTAGTCGACAGCGTAATCAACTCATAGAGTTTTCTCGACCAGCACTTAATTAGCTTATATGTAGATTTCAGTAAGCAGGTTGTCGCAGGGGAAATAGGCGGGCCAGAACAGCCCGGCCCAGGCCGCGCATCGAGGCGGGCCAGCCCGGCCCGCCCCTAAACGGGCGGGCCAAAAGCGGGCCGCCCGGCCTGTCCTGGGCCGACAGCCAAAATCTGAGGTCCGGCCCGGGGCATTTCCGGGCCGGCCCGACCCGGGCTGGGCCCAGCCCGTTTTTTTGCTCAACCCTATGTATATGTATGTATACTTATATATATTTATATTTATTTCTTGGCTCTTGAAATTACTCAAAACTGTCAGGTCTGATGCACTATGAGCGCCCCTGCAACACCCTTTTTTCTTCATTCCCCTCCTTTCCCTCCCACCCCTTTCTCCTTCCCTTCCCCCTCCCCTTCTTCCCCTTCCTCCTCGTTTCCCCTTTCTCCCCGTTTCTCATTCTCCATCCCCCCCCCGTCCCTCACCAGATTCCTTCAGGTGTCGCCAGTTCATCCGCAACCCATGTGCCCCGGGGGTGTGCATTGATGACATAGACGGCACCTACTCCTGCCTCTGCCCCTCGCCCTTCTTCGCCTTCTACTTCTATTCGAAAGACACCGCCCGCTGTAACCAGTGTGCGTAACACTTGCTACCTGCCCCTGCCCTCAAAGGGGAAGTGTGTGGGTATTTTTCCTCCCCCCTCTCTGCCCCTCACCCTTCCTCCCCTGAGACTTCTTCCCCAGAGCCACTGCCCGCTGTTACTTCTGTGGGCAACACTCGCTCTTGCTTGCTTGCTTACTACCTACCTCTGCGCCCCACGGGGAAAATGTGGTCTTGCATAAGCCGTGGCTGAGTCTTAAGCACCACTTGCTTTGCTCAACTTGCTCACAGCCTTAGCATTCCGCCTGCCTCCCTTGGAAGGTGCATGGCAGTGACGCATTTTCACTGCCCCCCCTGCTGTCCGGCAAAAGCCGTGGCTGGCTGAGTCTCAAACAGCACTTGCATTGCTCAACTTGTGAGTCATGAGACGACTTTTGAGGCGCCTCAAATATGCTTGCTGCGCCCCAAGGGGAAATGCTGTCTGCCAAAAGCCGTGGCTGAGTCTTAAGCAGCACTTGCTTTGCTCAACTTGCTCACAGCCTTTGCATTCCGCCTGCCTCCCTTGGGGGGTGCATGGCAGTGACGCATTTTCACTGCCCCCCCTGCTGTCCGGCAAAAGCCGTGGCTGGCTGAGTCTCAAACACCACTTGCATTGCTCAACTTGTGAGTCCTGAGACGACTTTTGAGGCGCCTCAAATATGCTTGCTGCGCCCCAAGGGGAAATGCTGTCTGCCAAAAGCCGTGGCTGAGTCTTAAGCACCACTTGCTTTGCTCAACTTGCTCACAGCCTTTGATTTCCGCCTGCTTTTGATTCACCTGCCTTTGATTTCCGCCTGCTTTTGATTCGCCTGCCTTTGATTTCCGCCTGCTTTTGAGTCACCTGCCTTTGATTTTCACCTCATGCCTCTGCCCCCTCACCTACCCCTCACACACACCACCACTCTCACTTTGCCCCTTGCGTGCAGTGCGATTGTTTGAGCTGCGAATGCCCACCTTCCTGTCTCCCTATGGCCTCACATGCCCTCTCATCCTCAACACATACGGACTCACCCAAGCGGCCTTCTTCCGCCAAAATAAGGTATGAATGGCTTCTTCAGACAGAACAAGGACTGAAAGGTTTTAGTCTGGCTGTAAACGTGAAGAAAGGTTAAGGCTGGCTGGCTCCGGTTGGGTCTGGGGTCAACATATCTCATGTCACATCGAATCCCTTTTGAGAAATCTCAAAAGTGGCTTCAATATAGGCTAGGCTGTGGTCGGTCGGGGATCAGCACGTTTCATGTCACATCACATCACATCACATCACATCGCATCGCATCGCATCGCATTGCATCGCATTGCATCGCATCGCATCACGTCACATCACATCGCATCGCATCTCATCGCATCGCATCGCATCACATCACATCGCAGCTGAATTTTTGAGTCAACTCAAAAGGCGCGTCACATCAGGAATCGCAACTCGTTTTCTCATCATGTGCCCATTTTATCATCCCCAACTCTGAAAAGTCGTGAGGCGCCTAAAAAGTCCTCTATTCTTATGGTCTCGCACGAGGCAGCTTGTTCAGCCAAAACAATGTCAAGCTCTTGTCGGGTTTCACAAAAGGGTATTAGTTCGGATTGCTACAAGTTTCATCACTTCGCTCGCATGACATCACAGAACCGTGTTGCCTTTCATCATACTACCCCCTTCTTTTCTGGTCGTCTGCCCCTTTCCTGGTCTTCTGCCCCCCCCCCCCCCTCACTGCCCCTCAATCCCCCTCGCGGCCCCTCCCGCTCAATTCTCTTCTCTGCCTCGCACTTTCCCTTGCTGCCCCTCACTTTCACCTCGTTCTTCCCACCACCCATTCTGACTCCCTCGTCCCCCAATCACTCCTTGTTCTAACCACACCCCTTTCCCTTCCCATCCCACACTCTTTCTTTGTTTTGTCGACTGCAGATGTTCCAACCATTTTAATCATTCCTGTCTCCTTGTTCTGTCCTCCATCTCTCCTTGTTCTGTCCTCCATCTCTCCTTGTTGTGACTGCAGGGCTTCCAGTGCCGAGCGCCCATCCCTGCAGAGACTCTAATCAACGTCACCAGCCGGGCTTACTCCCAATGCACTTCCACGTACACTGCTAATTATGTGAGTGCCGTTGCATTTATGTAAGCACCAATGCTTATATGAAAGTGCCTGTGCGTTTATGTAAGTGCCAGTGCATTTATGTAAGTGCCAGTGAGTTTAACATCCAAACTAGCACCCTCTTACACTGCTCACGTTGAATCGCCTGCCTGCCACCTGTGTTTCCATTTCCCACTCCCTCCATATGCCCACTCCTTCCATCTGCCCACTCCCTCCATATGCCCACTCCTTCCATCTGCCCACTCCCTCCATATGCCCACTCCTTCCATCTGCCCACTCCCTCCATATGCCCACTCCTTCCATCTGCCCACTCCCTCCATCTGCCCACTCCTTCCATCTGCCCACTCCCTCCATCTGCCCACTCCTTCCATCTGCCCACTCCCTCCATCTGCCCACTCCCTCCATCTGCCCACTCCCTCCATATGCCCACTCCTTCCATCTGCCCACTCCCTCCATATGCCCAGTCATTCCATCTGCCCACTCCCTCCATATGCCCACTCCTTCCATCTGCCCACTCCCTCCATCTGCCCACTCCTTCCATCTGCCCACTCCCTCCATCTGCCCACTCCCTCCATCTGCCCACTCCCTCCATCTGCCCACTCCCTCCATCTGCCCACTCCCTCCATCTGCCCACTCCCTCCCTCCATCTGCCCACTCCCTCCATCTGCCCACTCCCTCCATCTGCCCACTCCCTCCATCTGCCCACTCCCTCCATCTGCCCACTCCCTCCATCTGCCCACTCCCTCCATCTGCCCACTCCCTCCATCTGCCCACTCCCTCCATCTGCCCAATCCCTCCATCTGCCCACTCCTTCCATCTGCCCACTCCCTCCATCTGCCCACTCCTTCCATCTGCCCACTCCCTCCATCTGCCCACTCCCTCCATCTGCCCACTCCCTCCATCTGCCCACTCCCTCCATCTGCCCACTCCCTCCATCTGCCCACTCCCTCCATCTGCCCACTCCCTCCCTCCATCTGCCCACTCCCTCCATCTGCCCACTCCCTCCATCTGCCCACTCCCTCCATCTGCCCACTCCCTCCCTCCATCTGCCCACTCCCTCCATCTGCCCACTCCCTCCATCTGCCCACTCCCTCCATCTGCCCACTCCCTCCATCTGCCCACTCCTTCCATCTGCCCAATCCCTCCATCCGCTCAGCTTGATTCTTCCAATCCAATAACCACACATTCTTAAAATAACCACACATTCTTCCAATAACCACACATTCTTCCTCCACACAGCCGCTCAACTCAATTCTCCCAATAACCGCGCACTCCCTTCTAAACCCGACCTGATCTGTGTGCCGGCAGGGTGACTCGTGTGACTCCATCAATGCCCTCTTCTCCACGCGCATTCAGTCGCTCAACCCCGCCCTCAGCTGCTCTGATGGGCCCAGGCCCGGCCAGGTGGGTGCTGCAGATGCAGATGGGTGCAGATGTGTGCAGATGAGTACAGATGAGTACAGGTAAGTGCAGGTGTTTGCAAATCCTCTGACATAGTTCCAGTGAGCTGCAGTGTTTAGCAGTATATTTGAAGCAAGTAGGAAAAACGTTGTGACTAAACTAGCCAATCGTTGAGAGCCTGTGAAACTGGAGCTCTCCTCGTTAACAGAAACTAAAAGAATAAACACAAAGATGCAGGAGTGCAGATGCAGATGGGTGCAGGTGCAAGTCGGTGGGGTGCACGTGAGTTTAGATGAGTTTGCATGTGTTTATGTGAGTGTAGATGAGTGCAGATGAGTGCAGATGAGTGCAGATGAGTGCAGCTGAGTGCAGATGAGTGCAGATGAGTGCAGATGAGTGCAGATGAGTGCAGATGAGTGCAGATGAGTGCAGATGAGTGCAGATGAGTGCAGATGAGTGCAGATGAGTGCAGATGAGTGCAGATGAGTGCAGATGAGTGCAGATGAGTGCAGATGAGTGCAGATGAGTGCAGATGAGTGCAGATGAGTGCAGATGAGTGCAGATGAGTGCAGCTGAGTGTTGTGGTTGCAGGTAAGTGTCGGTGGGACTTGGGGGTGTAGGTGGGCGTATGTGAGTGTAGGTGGGTGGAGGCAAGTGTAGGTTGTTATCAGAGAATGCAGGTGCGCACTGCATGTTGATAAATGGAGCGGCAGCAATGACATGTCATCAGGGTAACCTACACATGGGCAACGGGTCAGGTCGACCCGGCCCGTTTTTCGCGACCTGTTTTTCGGGACCCGTTTTTCGCGACCCGTTTTTCGCGACCCGTTTTTCGCGACTCGGGTCAAAAGTCTGAAAGAGGTGACCCGACCCGAGACAAGTTACCTCGGGTCAATCAAGACCCAAGGCCGGGTCGGGTTGGCCCGACCCGCCCGGGTCAGAAATGCAGCAGCGTTGGTATAAACGTACAGTGATATGGCGGTCTAACCATGACAAGATCTGAAAGGTACGCGGGTAAGGTGGCTAGCTTCGATCTCCCACCGTTAAATGACCCCGCGATGCGCGGGGTCGTGGCTGCACGATTGTCGCGCCAAACTACGAACGGGCTCGACAGCCGCTTCTCCCTAAACAGGTCGCTCGGTAATGTGGAGATGTTCGGCTATTTCTTGCGACGCTGCGAAATTTCTATGGTCTACTGCTCGTAAACGGAAATCGTCACCGTTATCGAAATAGAGAAGAATGATTTAAACTATTTCGAAAAACATGGCTGTGATTGGCAACCTAAACAGCCATGGCAAGGTGGTTTCGTACGCTCAGATCTAGCGTGAGTTAGGGCTGGTTGGATTGATAGTGATCGTGAGCCATTTGTGGAAATGTGTTGGGATGCATTTCACCAACACAAAACGGGTCGGGTCGACCCGACCCGACGGGTCGGATTAAGCCCGGCTACCAAAGGCCTGATGGGTCACGGGTCGACCCGACCCGCCCGACCCGACCCGACCCGCCCGGGTCGCAGATCCCATGCATACGACCTGACCCGGCTAAAAAACCGGGTCGGGTCGGGTCAGGTCGACCCGTATGGGTCATTTGCCCAAGTCTAGGGTAGCCCCTCTTTTGACGGGCTTTAAGGATATGTTTTTGCTTTGCTGAAGTTATTTCCCTCTAGTTTTGTTGAAGGGTGTGAATCCCTGTTCTTCGAATCTGCTAGATTAAATATCTCTGTTGCTTGAGATATCATTGGTTGAAGCCCAAGATGAGCTCTACTGCTCGTGAAAGTTATTGCATGACATCACATCGCATCGCATTGCATCCCATCGCATCCCATCGCATCACATCACAAAATGTAGACAGGCCTTCATTTGTATCAGAACTCGAAGTCCACACATTCCTCTCTCCCCTCATCCCCTCTCTCCCCCCTCTCCCCCCTCCTCCTCCCTCCTCCTCTCTCCCCCCTACTCCTCCATCTTCATCTCTCCCCCCTCTGCCTCCTTCCTCCTCTTTCCTCCTCTCTCCCGGCCCCCCCTCCCTCCCTCCCTCCCTTCCCAGCTCCTCTGTGTAGACTTCAACCGAACGTGGCTAGAGTTGGAAAAGACCCGCGTGGCATGCCACGTCTCTGCACAAATCACCCCAGCCATCACCACAACCCCAGCCATCACCACAATCCCAGCCATCACCACAACCCCAGCCACACCGCCTCTCCTAGTCGACTACATGAACCAGGGCGTGCTCGTGAAGGTGCTCCAGGGCCCGCAGTCCTGCCAGCAACTGTGGCGGGCGTTTGGCATTTCCTCCCCCACGCGCTTCTTTCAGATGAACCCCGGGCTTTCGTGCGACTCCTTGCTGCCGTACAGCCCCGTGCAGGGGAATATGATTAGTAGGGTGAGTTGGGTTGCACGGCCTGTGTGTGGTGGGTGGGGGTGCAAGTGGGGGGGTGGTTAGTGTTTGGCGTCGCCTCCCCCACGCGCTTCTTCCAGATGAACCCTGGGCTTTCGAGCGACCCCTTCCTGCCATACAGCCCCACGCAGGGCAATGTGATTAGAAGTGATTAGAAGGGTGAGTTGGGTTGCACGGCATGTGTGTGGGTTGTGCACACGCGTCGCATGCGTGCATGTGTCCGTCCGTCCGTCCGTCCGTCCATCCGTCTGTGTGTCTGTCTGTGTTTCTGTCTGTGTGTCTGTCCGTGTGTCCGTGTGTCTGTCTGTGTGTCTGTCTGTGTCTGTCTGTCTGTCTGTCTGTTTGTCTGTTTGTCTGTCTGTCTGTGTTTGTCTGTGTGTCTGTGTGTTTTTGTCTGTGTCTGCGTGTCTCTCTGTGTTTGTCTGGGTTTATGTATATATAAAGGTTATCTTATCCTCTCTTTTTTTTCCCCTTCCATTCTGTTCAAACTGATGGTTGACTCTCAGATTTGTGTGGCTGCTATTGACGCCCGACCACTCTCTGGCGTTTCATGCTCAACCAAGCGCATGTACAGTGTGAAGCGCGGAGACACATGCGGCATGTTGATCGTTAAGAGATACCGCCGCAGTGCTGACATGTTTAGGGAGCTTAACAACGGATATGATTGTGCTGTAACTGGGTTGTGGATTGGCATGTTGCTTTGTCTACCTGTATAAATGCGAGCCTTATAAACAAATCGTTTTGCTTGCAACTGTACGTTCCCATCCCACAGATACTTCTCTTCTCTTAGCATGACCTCAGTTCTCGTGGCCTCTGGAGAGAGACATTCGGTCGGCGGTCGCCGGTTGTTAGAGTTGTTAACGGAGAATGCGTTGTAGTGCGATAAAGACAGGTGGTTGGGCTTGACGTATACCTACCGTAAGCTTTTAGGTAAGTTGGAAAACATACGGTATGATCTGAAATGGTGTGATGATTTTTTCGGTATTCCTTCCCGAATGCTTAACACCGCAAACAGGACCAACTGTTGTTCGCCCGATTGAGAAAGCTTGCTTTCTGTTCTTGCAAAGGCATCGTGCTTCATTACAATTGCAGTCATTACAACATTCTCGTCCAAATAGACTATACAAGTTGCGTATACGACTAGGGTGGGTGGGTGGGGAGTGGAATTGCAAGTTCCAAATGAAGACGTGGGTGGAGGCCAAATGGCCTCCAACCCTCGTTATGTACTCGGCGAATTGTAATTCGCCATTGCCTTGCTGCGATACAGACAGCTGCACTTTCACAATACGCATTTTTAGAAAGTGTTACACACTTTCAAAAAAAATCATATTGAGAAAGCTTGCTTTCTGTTCTTGCAAAGGCATCGTGCTTCATTACAATTGGGTCTTCTGAGACATGTGCAGTTGGGGCCGTTGGAGACTTGTTGAGTGCGGCTGCGCCTGACGAAGTTGTCGAAGTGCAGAGAGGTGGCGTTGCGTTGGTGGCACCAACTTGGTGCCATATTGAAAGGATTAGGACCGTTGTTCGTGCGAAGTTGCTTGTTCTCTTAATATGGGCGTCCCTGCTCGTAGTTGTTGGCGTCGTTGGCTCATATGAAAGGGGATATTTATGACAAATTTTCTGTTTTACATGATATGGCAATATACATTATGCAATCTATATCCATATGATACACCTCCACAACAATGTGCCGTATGTTGTAACCATATCAACCTGAACTGTCCACCTTCCATAGGGCGACGATGGGCCCTCTGGCCCCTGGCCAGCACGGGACCCTCGGTCCCCTTCCCCCCTTGGGGAACAGCCCTCTGGCCAGCACGGGACCCTCGGTCCCCTTCCCCCCTTGGGGAACGGCCCTCTGGCCAGCACGGGACCCTCGGTCCCCTTCCCCCCTTTGGGAACGGCCCTCTGGCCAGCACGGGACCCTCGGTCCCCTTCCCCCCTTGGGGAACGGCCCTCTGGCCAGCACGGGACCCTCGGTCCCCTTCCCCCCTTGGGGAACGGCCCTCTGGCCAGCACAGGACCCTCGGTCCCCTTCCCCCCTTGGGGAACGGCCCTCTGGCCAGCACGGGACCCTCGGTCCCCTTCCCTCCTTGGGGAACGGCCCTCTGGCCAGCACGGGACCCTCGGTCCCCTTCCCCCCTTGGGGAACGGCCCTCTGGCCAGCACGGGACCCTCGGTCCCCTTCCCCCCTAGGGGAACAGCCATCTGGCCAGCACGGGACCCTCGGCCCCCTTCCTCAAGTGAAGGACCATGCGCGGGTGCACCAAGAGTTGATGTAGCCGTCGTTGCCCCAAATTGTTATGCTTGGCCTCCTGCCAATAATTATGCCTTGCACCCAGGAAAATTTGAAGGCTGAGGAATTATTGAATAAAAGATTTATCGAATGAACGGGAAGAGAATCCAAATTGCAACAAAAACCAAGTTAGCTTGAGATGGTAGAAAGAGTTAGTTGCGTGGCAATGCTGGTGTCGAACCAGTTGATGCAGGATCACAAGCGGGTCTCTGGCGATTGCGTCAGTAGCGCCACTGGCGATTGCGTCAGTAGCGCCACTGGCGATTGCGTCAGTCGCGCCCTGGCGATCGCGTCAGTCGCGCCCTGGCGATTGCGTCAGCCGCGCCCCTGGTGGTTGCGTCAGTCGCTCGAGCCCATGGCGATTGCGTCAGCAGCGAGTCTGACGCTTGCGTCAGTCGCGCGACTGACGATGGTGCCGCCAGGTGCGCCAGGGGCGAGTTCGCCTTAGGCTCGCTAGTGGCGGGTTCGCCCTGGGTCGCGCCCTCATTTGATGCGGGTTTGGCGCCGATTTCTTGCCCGCGGGTGTAGTCGCAACTCTCGCCGTCGACGTGAAATCGCGTGGCTTAAACGTGATAAATAACTAAAAACAACTTATCAGAAATTAGTGCCTACTATGCGAGGTTCTAGTGTCAACAGAAATCGAGAGAGAAATGTCACCTGAGTAGTTGGACGAGAGTGGAGTGGAACTGCAAGTTCCAAATGAAGACGTGGGTGGAGGCCAAATGGCCTCCAACCCTCGTTATGTACTCGGCGAATTGTAATTCGCCGTTGCCTTGCTGCGATACAGACAGCTGCGCTTCCACAATACGCATTTTTAGAAAGTGTTACACACTTTCAAAAAATTTCATTTACTGCTAATGGGGCTTCGCTAACCTTCGTGCGCTGCATTTGCCAAACCATGCATCGCTGGCCTGGCCGAGACGGCTTACGCTTCGGTACTAGCCCGAACCTCGTTGCCAGCATCGCACTAGCTAGCTCGCACGCACCGCGTTACCGTTTGCTTGTTTCGCCTATAAGTTTTCGCTCGTGCCTTCGCTCATACATTGTACTCGTTTGACGACTTAGTGCAATCCTCGCTACCTCGCTACGTTGCACCCGTAACACTTGGCTATCAAAGCTATTTTCTTTTCGGACTACGCATTTCCGCAACCAGCTGAAGCAAACTTATGTTTTTTCTCACTCGAAGGGACACATGCCCCTTAGCGTACTAGGAGCCGCTGTCCTCACGCTCTCTCGTAAGCTCGTACAGCCACGACTGTGCCTAGCACCTAGACCGACCGCCGTCCTTCGACATGGCAGACCATATTGAACTTGCGAGCCTCACACATGAGCGCCTGAATGAGCTGACGCGCCAACTGCACGAAAGCACCGAGGAAATTGCGGCGCTAACGGCAGAACGCACGTCGCTGCAAAACGACATCGCACGGGCACAACAAGCACAATCACAAACGCAAGGAAAAGCAACATATGGAGCACCATCCGCAGCCCAACACGAGAGTGTGGGACAACCCTCGAGCGCTGCTAGTGATGGCGTCGCACGCAACGACGTTCGCGACGACCACAAGACGACACACCCCGAGGTGACAAACGCGGCTAGGAGTCAACGTCGTGTCAACATTTCGATGCCGATCGATGAGTCGGCACTCCCGTCACCAATGCCGCTCAAGCCGCAGCGTCCGCCTTGCTTTGATCAGAGTCAACAGGGTGGTCCGACGGTTCTGGCGTGGATTTTCACCATGAACGTCTTCTTCGACGCAAACTGAGTCTCGTCGGATGCGGCAAAAATCCGAGACGTCGTGTCGTTACTGTGAGGACCCGCCATGGATTGGTGGCGCATCATCGTCACGAAGCCGAGCGACTACGAGGCACTACCGCCACGAGAAGGACCAACCGGACCCCGGGCGCGGTCGTATTTCAGGAGGTAGCCTAGTATCGCACGTAGGACGCGTGGTGCGCAGGTCTGCATTCAAGATTCAAGCCAATCGCAGCGTCAACTCTGCGCGTCAGAAGCTCCGCACTTAGCGCCAGCTTGGTTCCGTCCAGGAATACACCAGTGGGTTTCTGGTGCTGTGCGAGCAGGGGGGGAACATGCATGAACCTGAGCGCATCGACCGTTATGTCGGTGGCCTAAAAAGCGACATCGCGCAAGAAATCCTGCTCCACAACCACCGAATTCAACGACATACTCGCCATGGCGGAAAAAATATATTTCCTACGCCGACCGCGATCGGGGTCCTACGACAACAGCTGCAACTGGGGACGCCGAACGCGTGGGACGAACAAGCACGCAACGATACGCACCGTCGCCGTGAATGCCGCTGCCGCACCATTCAAAGGGCGCTGCTTCGCGTGCAATCGGCCGGCGCACCGCAAAAGCGAATGCCCGGAAAACGTTTGGGGAAAGGAGGGAGCACAGCAGAAGAAACAGACCAAGCTGTAGGGAAACGCTGGGAGTCAGTAGCATACGGGCCCGTTATTGACCGGTCACGCTGTCGCGCGACCCAACCGACCCTCACCGAGTGACTGTGCTGATTCATGCAGTCGACCACACCCGGCTGAACAAGGAGGGTTCAGCGGTAGAAAGTCCCATACTGCTTAGCAGGAAAATCCAAACGGACTTAGTTAAAATCTTTGTAGACTGTTTAAAATCTTAAAATCTTAGGGGGGCTAGCCACAGTTTAACAAATACTGCCACTGCACTGAGACTTAAACTGACACTAGACCAATGCTTACCTGAGATTGACGCATGACTGGTCGACGGCACGCCACTGGCGATACGGAAACACGCAGAGAGAGTTCAGATCCGTTGCGAGGGTGATTTCACGTTCACACAGGAAATGCTGGCGACAACCCTCGACGGGACCGACATTTTACTTCGTTGTGATTGGTTGCGACGACACAACCCGCGCATAGACCGGACGATGGGCGATTGCACTGTGCGAGTCAACTGTAACAGCATCGCCTTACCTCGCTGGAGCTTGCTTGAGACTTCGTCGGTTCGTGTCAACGCGATCACAAGGAAACGCGCCGTAGCGGCAGGAGCTGACGTGTATGCGGTTGATGTCCGAGAAGCCGAGGCAGCAGACAAACCTAACGATTTGCAGAAACTGCTCGCCAATGTACCGGATGACCTGGCAGCACTACTGAAGCAGTACAGCGGGATATTTCCGGATGACCTACCGGAGGGACTGCCACCACAACGTCTGCATGACCATGTCAGAATAACTGTGCAGGAATGATTGACTAGCAAGCAAGGATGAGAACAAGTACTAGGTTTGACCTAAAGTGTTGTACTTAATCGAGGCTACCCCACTACAGCATACAAATACAAATGTAATTTGACACACCCCCATAGGCAAAGTGGGGGATAGCAAACACAACGAACGGTCACAAGACCAGTCAAGCAAGAGAACAGAGCAA